GCTATTACCACTCTTTGTCGTCTCCTAGAGAGGAGAGATCATTCAACACTTCCAAGAAAAATACTATCACAAGTATCAAAACCTGTCTTCTTCTTCCTCCTCTATCTCTCCTTCCCCATTTCCAAGACTGTAAGTTCCTTTATCCTTTCTCTTTCATCTTCTAAAAAATCTAAAAATCGTAACTTTTTCTTTCTTCATTTCGAATACCTTCGAGTGTTCAAGATCTGATTTTTCCAAAACCGGTCTAACGAAGGCAAAATATTTGATCTTTCAGCTGTTTCCAGTAATTTACATTCGTTGCCTTCAACAAAAGTTATCAGATTCGCAAAGTGTTTCAGTTTTTTTTTTTTAGAATCAACTTTGCTTCACTCTTCTTCAGATTCTTGTTTCCTCTAGCTGAACATTTGCTTTCTTGCAATATATTTTGTTTTTTTTTTCTCTTTGATCTTACAATGGAACAGTTCCTCTGACTAAGACCTTAGATCTGATAATCTGTAGTTGTGTTGCAGAAAAATGGGGACTTTGAGTAAGGCTTTATGTATTCTCCTTCTGTTCTGTGTCGTGGCCGCTGCTGCTGGTGATTCTTACAAGTACAAAGATCCAAAGCAACCTTTGGGTGCAAGAATCAGGGATTTGATGAAGCGTATGACTCTACAAGAGAAGATTGGTCAGATGGTTCAGATCGAACGTAGTGTCGCAACACCTGAAGTTATGAAGAAATACTTCATTGGTAAGAAGAAATCTGAAGAAATATTATGATGTCTGTTAAGTGTTCGATGTAATGTCTAAATGAGTGGGAAAACTGTTTGTTTTTTTTTGTGTATGTGTAGGGAGTGTGTTGAGTGGTGGAGGAAGTGTGCCTTCGCAAAAGGCAACTCCTGAGACTTGGGTGAACATGGTTAATGAGATTCAAAAGGCGTCTCTTTCGACCCGTTTAGGAATCCCAATGATCTATGGGATTGATGCTGTTCATGGTCATAACAATGTGTATGGTGCCACCATTTTCCCACACAATGTAGGCCTTGGAGTCACAAGGCAAGTTTGTCTAACAAGGGCTTTAACTATTTATGACTATGTTGAAATTGAATGTGTAAAGACTATGTGTTTGTTTTTGACTTAATCTTTTTTCAGGGACCCTAAGCTTCTGAGGAGGATCGGTGAAGCAACCGCTCTTGAAGTTAGAGCGACAGGGATCCCATATGCCTTTGCGCCGTGTATTGCGGTAAGTATAATGAAGCTAAGAGTTTGATGTAGTCTTGATCAAGGAACTGAGTTTGATTAATATATTTCTGGTTTAACAGGTTTGTAGGGATCCAAGATGGGGAAGATGCTACGAGAGCTATAGTGAGGATTATAGAATCGTCCAACAGATGACTGAGATCATTCCCGGTTTGCAAGGCGACATTCCTACCAAGCGAAAGGGTGTTCCTTTTGTAGGTGGAAAGTAAGTAACTCTGCTTGTAATAAATCTTCTGTGATATTTTCTTAAATAGCCACTAAGAAAAGTGAAAATTACCTATATAAATCTGCAGTCAAGGCAAGAACTCTTTGAATCTTGAAGACGTTCTTTGTTATAATCCATGAGATTTGGTTAAGATTTTAGTTGCTTGTGTATGTTTGAGTCTTGATGATCAAAGTGGGAAAAAGTTGGGTCGTGATCATGCGTGCTTTTGTTTAGAATGTGGTGGTCCTTGAGTGTTAAAAGCTTCTGGATAAGAGATTGTCTAATCCATGTGCTATGTTTTCAACTCTCTATAGGGTTTGGAGAGGTTCTTAAAGAGTCCTGATTTGAATTTTCTGCCACTGTAGGACCATTATGAAGTTACTGTCTACTTCATATAAACAGTCCCACTTATTTATGTCCTTTATATCTGGGTGCAATAAATTGTGCTAATGTCTCATTAATACTATTTGGGATATTGTTTTGGCTAGAGTCATTTCAAATTAAAGTAATGAATTAGTATTTGACTGGAATGAGTTTGTTACTGTTACAGGACAAAAGTGGCGGCTTGTGCTAAGCACTTTGTGGGAGATGGAGGTACGACGAGAGGGATAGACGAGAACAACACGGTGATTAGCTCGAATGGGCTGTTCGGCATTCACATGCCTGCATATTACAATGCTGTAAACAAGGGTGTTGCAACGGTTATGGTGTCCTACTCTGCCTGGAACGGTTTGAGAATGCATGCTAACAAGGCACTTGTCACGGGTTTCCTCAAGAACAAGTTGAAGTTCAGAGTAAGAAACCATACATCTGGATTTATTTAGTCTTCCGTGCTCTGGACCTAAAAGCTCTTCTTTCTGTTTCTCTGCAGGGTTTTGTCATCTCGGATTGGCAGGGAATTGATAGGATCACAACTCCTCCTCATCTTAACTATTCATACTCTCTTTACGCGGGAATCAGCGCAGGAATTGACATGGTTGGTCTCCAAAAGAAATGAATCCACCTTTATTTGGGTTACTCTACACGGTTTCTTGATTGTTGTATTGCTCTCTAATTCCAGATTATGGTGCCGTACAACTACACCGAGTTCATCGACGAAATCAACAGTCAGATACAGAAAAAACTGATTCCGATAAGCAGGATCGATGACGCCGTGAAGAGAATCTTGAGGGTCAAGTTCACAATGGGACTCTTTGAGGAACCACTGGCTGATCTCAGCTTTGCCAACCAGCTTGGTAGCAAGGTCTGTAATGTTTTGTCCTCTCTTAATCAACATACCAATCTTTACAAAATCATCAAGTAGAAAACTGACAAAAGCACTTCTGCGATCTTGACAGGAACACAGGGAACTAGCTCGTGAAGCCGTAAGGAAATCTCTAGTGCTGCTCAAGAATGGCAAGACAGGCGATAAACCGTTGCTTCCTCTGCCTAAGAAAACAGGAAAGATCCTTGTGGCGGGAGCACATGCTGATAACTTGGGATATCAATGTGGTGGCTGGACCATAACCTGGCAAGGCCTTAATGGCAATGACCTCACCGTTGGTATGTATTTACTCGCAAACTTTTATTTGCCTTCTGTGGCCACGCTTGCAACCAGCGCTAGCTAGGTCCGGACATTTGGACGTATGGATATATAATCTCGAGTTTGGTTCAATCATACACAGGTACAACGATCCTGACGGCTGTGAAGAATACAGTGGCTCCGACCACACAAGTCGTCTACAACGCAAACCCCGATGCAAACTTCGTGAAGTCTGGTAAATTCGACTACGCCATTGTGGTCGTTGGCGAGCCACCATATGCTGAAATGTTTGGCGACAGCACGAACTTGACCATAAGTGACCCGGGTCCAAGCACCATACAGAACGTGTGCGGATCAATGAAGTGTGTGGTGGTTGTGGTCTCTGGCCGTCCTGTGGTGATTCAGCCTTATGTCTCGGCCATTGATGCCCTTGTGGCGGCTTGGCTTCCGGGAACTGAAGGTCAAGGGGTGGCTGATGCTTTGTTTGGTGATTATGGGTTCACTGGAAAGTTGGCTCGGACTTGGTTTAAGTCGGTGAAGCAGCTACCCATGAACGTTGGCGATCGGCATTACGACCCGTTGTACCCGTTTGGTTTCGGGTTGACCACAAAACCATACAAAGTGTAGAGTCTGTTGCTCTGGTTCTGAGGCAATAATTTTAGTTATTGGCAAGAAAAAGAAAGATATTAAGGACCCAATGAAATAATTTCGATTGAACAATTTTGTGGGTTTTTCCCTCATGATAAAGGTTGAGATTGTCTGTCTACGAAACTAGTGTTATAAGGGATCAATGGATCAATGTTATAGCATCAAACACTTTAATGAATAGTGCTGAAACGATAATTCCGATTTTTCAAGTAAAAGATGTGGTAGTAGTTTGTGAAATTGCTTATTATCTTCAAAAGGTAGACTATATAATATTTATTTTGTTATTATTATATCATTTGATATTTTATTAAATCGTCAATTTATTATATTTATCTCATACTAAAATTATTTCATATATGTTATTATATTAGCAAAATAAAACTTATAATACGGCATTCCCTTTTGTCTTTTAACTATTTCAATAATTTGAATTTGAAAGATGCCATCGAGTGGTGGGATTTACGACAATACTAGGCAGTTCATAGAAATCGTAGAGGCATATCAGACCGTCACAACTAGTATTGCAAACGTCGTAAAGCTTGTTCTCCCACGGAGTTGGGATCTGAACAGATTCTGACCATGACCCCACCACCAACATTCTCAGAGCTTCAATGTCTCCATTAAAAACAGCCCAATCATTACACTTTTTCGGGGACGGTCTGTCTTTGATGGGAAGGTGTGAATCCCTTGAGGGGAAACAAATGAGTCAAAGAAAAATGAAAGGAAACAAATACTGAAAATTATATGTATATGGAAAAGATGGGGAGTTTCTTTATTGTTGGTCATCTGGAGAGTGAAGGAGAAGTAAAGATGGGGAGTTTGAGTTACTTGCTATATAAGTTAGGGCTTCTGCTGCTCTGTTGCTCCGTGGCAGCAAACAATGAACCACTTGCGAACGCCAAGTATAAGGACCCGAAAGAGCCATTGGAAGTCAGGATCGAGGACCTGATGAGCCATATGACCCTTGAAGAGAAAATCGGGCAGATGGTTCAGGTGGAACGAGTCAATGCCACTACCAAAGTCATTAAGAATTACTTCATCGGTATGATTCTGGACCTTCATATGTTAAAACCTAAACAAATGCTCCAATGTTTCAGAATTATGTGTGCAGGGAGTGTGTTTAGCAGTGGAGGGAGTGTACCAACGCCAAATGCAAGTACTGAAGCTTGGGTGAACATGGTAAATGAGATTCAAAAGACGGCTCTTTCAACCCGTTTAGGGATTCCCATCATTTATGGGATCGATGCAGTTCATGGTCACAACAATGCGTACAATGCCACCATTTTCCCGCATAACATAGGCCTTGGAGTCACCAGGCAAGTTCTTATAGAGAATCCCCATTCCAAACATTGTTTCCTTAATGTTGTATTCATCTGTTAGGGACCCTGGACTTGTGAAGAGGATTGGTGAAGCAACTGCGCTTGAAGTTAGAGCAACGGGAGTCCAATATGTCTTTGCTCCATGTATTGCAGTAAGTGAAATCTGATTTGAACCAAAAGCGGAAACATAGTTGTTGTAAATTAATCACTTTTAACAGGTGTGTAGAGATCCAAGATGGGGAAGATGCTATGAGAGTTACAGTGAGGATCACAGAATAGTTCAACAGATGACTAAGATCATACCTGGTTTGCAAGGTGACCTTCCTACAGGTCAAAACGGTGTTCCTTTCATCGCTGGAAAGTAAGTAAACTTTGATTCATAAAAGTACTCTCTAAAGAAGCAAAGATTCATGGAGTTTAAAATTGGAAGTAATAGAAAACTGAGTAAACTTACAGGACCAAAGTCGCAGCATGTGCTAAACACTTTGTTGGAGATGGAGGTACATTGAGAGGGATAAACGCGAACGATACTGTTGTTAATACAAACGGATTGCTAGGCATTCACATGCCGGCTTATTACGATGCAGTAAACAAGGGTGTTGCAACAATTATGGTATCATACTCGTCCTTGAACGGGTTGAAAATGCATGCCAATAAGAAACTTATCACTGGTTTCCTCAAGAACAAGCTGAAGTTCAAGGTAACTTAAATTATAGGAGAATCCAGCTTAAGCAAAAATTCTAGAGGCAGCCATTTGAGTCGAGAAATAAGAAAGATTTCAAAATCTCTTTGCAGGGCATTGTCATCTCGGATTATCTAGGCATCGATCAGATTGCCACACCTCTTCATGCTAACTATTCACACTCTGATTATGCTGGTATCACTGCTGGACTCGACATGGTCAGTTCCAAAACGGTTCTTAACTTCAAAGAATATAAAACACACTTGATTTGCACCGTGCGATTAAAATCTTCCTACGCAGATCATGGGTTCATCAAACTTAACTGAGTTAATAGACGAACTAACCAGTCAGGTGAAGAGAAATCTCATCCCGATGAGCAGAATCGAGGATGCTGTAAAGAGAATCTTGAGAGTCAAATTCACAATGGGGCTCTTTGAGGATCCCATGGCTGATCATAGCTTAGCCAACCAGCTCGGTAGTAAGGTCTAAAAAACTGCAAGATGAAGATAAAACAGCACTTAAGACCCACCTTAACATTAAGATAAACTCGATTTCCCTTAACAGGAACACAGGGAACTGGCAAGGGAAGCAGTGAGGAAATCTCTAGTATTGTTGAAGAACGGCGAAAATGCAGATACGCCATTGCTTCCTCTGCCAAAGAAAACCAACAAGATCCTTGTCGCAGGAACACATTCTGATAACTTGGGATACCAATGTGGAGGCTGGACAATCACTTGGCAAGGCCTTAAAGGCAACAATCTCACCATTGGTACACCACTCAAATCAATCATCTCTCTCTTCTTCATTTGTTTTGAGTTATCATATATAGAACATAGAAGACAAAGACCATTGAGGTTTCTCAAATTCCCAAAAGCAGAACAAGTAGGCAAAAAATTTGACATACTAAGAACATTCTAGATTCACTATTGATTCAAATCTGGGATTCCAGAAGAACATTACCAATCTGAAATTGGGATTTTTGCAGGTACGACGATCCTCGCTGCGGTGAACAAGACGGTGGATCCGACGACAAAAGTAATCTACAATCAGAATCCCGACACCAACTTCGTCAAGTCCGGCGATTTCGATTACGCAATCGTTGTCGTCGGAGAGACTCCGTACGCGGAGGGAGACGGTGACAACACGAACTTAACCATAGCCGAGCCAGGACCGAGCACAATAGAAAACGTGTGCGGATCGGTGAAATGTGTGGTGGTGGTTGTGTCGGGTCGTCCGGTGTGATGCAGCCATACACGTCGAGCATCGACGCTCTCGTAGCGGCGTGGCTTCCCGGAACGGAAGGTGAGGGAGTGGCTGATGTGTTGTTCGGAGATTATGGATTCACCGGGAAATTGGCTCGGACGTGGTTTAAGACGGTGGATCAGTTGCCTATGAACGTGGGCGACCCGAATTACGACCCGTTGTACCCGTTTGGGTTCGGGTTGGTTACAAAGCCCAATAAACAGTTTGGATAATGAATTAAGTTCAAAATTTTGGATTGGAATTTCGAATTTAGATTTTCTCCATTCCTCTTAACCATGTTTATAATAATTCTTTTTTTTTTTTTTTATTGAATCAAATTTAAACATATCAATATTGGCAATATTATTCTTTTAAGTGCTAATCGTCTCGATGGCCGTATAAAACACTATACTAAGGATGATTAATTTGTCTACATAATGGCTTGGTTGAACAAAAAATGGTTTATGTTGACTGTTTCTATGAACGAGTTAACCACAATCAAAACGTATGAGAC